CAGTTCAATAAGTTATGTTTTCTTGCTTGTTTTAACGCATCATTATGCCTATCAGTCGCATAACCTATTCATGTGTTTTTGTGAGATATTTACAAAAGGGCTCAATCAAAGACACTGTGTTTGTTGACAACATGCATCGAGAAGAATATATATTAATCAGATGTCGATTTCTAAACTGATAATTAATGTACTGAATATGTATATATTATCGATAAACATAGAATGAATACCATTCGTGTTGTTTGAACCGAACGTTGCGAATAAACTGTTCCCAACAAATATCGTTTCTACTAGCGAATATTCCACATCGTTGGTGGGTTTGTAGTGGCGTCGGATCATAACCACACAATCCTCAAAGCTGAACACGAGACTACTCGGAAAATAGATACTTAATATTTAACGCGGAGAAATACCCAACAATGGAGAAGGCAGGAACAAGGAATTGAATAAATTGGGGGTTGATGGTATGGCATGGCTCGGCCATGCAGGCGTGGTCCCAGCTGAATGTTATCTCTTATCTTTTATTCGTATTAAATATATTGTTCCATATCTAGCCTAAGCTTGTTCTCCATCATGTATTGGTAATTGTTACGATGCGATGAGGCGGTGTAGATAATAATGTGACTTCCACGTGAGATCTTATAGGTTAGGCAGTTGCATCATGACAAATCTACAATTTTAGGTTTAGGTCTATTATTAGAGCAGTGCTAATATCATAGTAGACCATAATTCTACAGGTTAATATCGTAACAGTTGCTAAGTCAAAGTCTCCGCAGAATCAAGAACAGAAACTCAATGTCCCCACAACAATTTCTATTCAACAGACTATTCAGCTATAATCCGCAATGTTAAGCCTTGATCGGTGCTTGATCGATCCTTACGAAAGCCAGGTCGTCGATGTTTACTGAATATTACATTAGATTCAGCAACACTTAAAACGGGTCTAAATTAGCATCCGATCAACACCTCAGAAGTTTAGTTTGGGAAAGAAAACTGTTTAACAGTTAGATGGTGGTTGGAGTTAGTCGACATGAAACCCTTGACTCGGGTTTCGTGCTACTTTGCACTCGTCAGCAAGGCGTACTTGTAATCTTTGAGGGAACTGGCGCTCCCTGGCGGATTCGATCCCGTGTCATCCAGCTTCACAGTCAGAGACGTTACCACTGAGCTATCCGGGCCGCGACCGACCTCCTGTAGTACTGAAATGTAATCACAATTGTTTGATCACTGGGTGGTGACCAATGTCTGTTTAACAGTGCTTTGAATTGTTTTGGAATAACGTCCCCAAGGGTTACAATGGTCATCCTCTTAACCCATCAGAGTCAGGTGACTTACTGTGCTTTTTATAGCCAAGTGACAGATAAACAGAATTCTAAATCACAAAATCTGGTAACAAGGGTGTCATTTCAGAAGTATCGCTATGGCTATCGATGAGCTAGTTCGGCCGTATATGCACACTCCAGTCGTGGAATAAGAATACACGAAGTTTGAGGAATTCGAGGCTACAGTGTGAAGTTAACCATCTTTTTAATGTTCGATCAAAAAAGTATATCCCGTATTTTCCATCGTCTGTCCGTTTATTTAATGAATGGCTGCATAAAAGAGGATAATTGAACCATGAATTTCATTTTATTTGTATAAAGCTATCTTCTATAAACACGCCAATGCAGAGAATCGCAATGTGTAGGATGAAAATAACGAATAAAGTGGAAGTCAGGACCTAAAATATAACCGATAGTAAAAATCGCTACTGCATGCATCACTATGATAATTAGAAGTATTCAAATTGTTGTACTAGCTAAGAATTCCAGAAATAGTGCAATCTACAGCAAGTAGAACTAGATGGGTACAAATCGACGTGTTGTACTTGGAATTTGTAATAAGCGGTTTGTCAAGTACAAAGAATCATTAGTTCATACAAATACCACCACTACTTACTCACTAAATGAAGAACGAAAACCCGGAAATACTTGAAACTGTTCACACATCGAATATAGGAAAACAGGCAAGCTACAACTTCCGGTCCCTTATTTATGACCCCAGAATTTTTATTTGACTCCAGTGAGTCAGTAATCGGAACATCCTGCTTCACTTTTATTTTATTCTAGTCCTTAAGTTTCGTAAGTTTCAATTTCATCTTGGCGACCAATAAGTGATGATCTGATGCTATATCAGCTTCTCTCTTGTTTCTCACGTCCTTCGCTGTCCTCCTGAACTTTTTATTGGTGCAGATATGATCGATCTGGTTTTGCGTAGTGTGATCCGGTGAAACTTATGTGGCTTTGTGAATGCATTTATATGGGAATATAGTGACGCCAATGACCAGTTTACTGAAGGCACGTAAGTTCGCTAATCCTTCATTATTTTCGTTAATTTCTCCTAGTCCATGTCATCATGTGATGTTTTCATATCCGGCGTTGTCCATTCCAACTTTGACATTTAAATCCTCCATCAGAATTTTCAAGTCCTTTGTTGGGCATTTCTCAACGATTGACTGCAGCCTATCGTAGAATTGATCTTTAGTGTCTTCAATATAGTTGTTGGTAGGAGCATAGCATTGAATGACGTTCATTGTACTGCCCTCTTTCTTTGTTTTGAAAGAGGCTTTGATGATCGTGGGTCCATGAGATTCCCATCATATTAGTGCATTATGTGCTTGTTTGGATAACATCAATGCAACTCCTTGTGTATGTGGAGCATTTTCTACAGAAAATTTCACAGGCCCAAAACAAACTATGTGCCAGCTTAATATCGACTTTCCCATCGAATTATAATGAATGGGATTAGTCAACTCAACATTTGATTGAGGCTTCATTTGTCAATACATGCAAAGGAAAGTTGTATCAACTGAGTGACCACTATTCCCAGGACTAACAAGGCCACTCAATTTCCTAGTATTTACAAACTTAAACCGAAACAGGAAGGTTTTCAAATAAACCTTGAACTCGGAAAAGGATGGACAAAACAAGGCCTGAAATAAACTACACACTAAAAAGTCATTTAAACTTATCATAGTCAGTGTTTACGGTCATGTTTTCGTTTATCTATTCACTTAGTTGCAAATATTTCGGAAAAATTTCTATTATAGAAGGTGTAAAGTTCGCAGTGTTGTAATCTTTTCTCCTTCATGACTGAATACACTACACTTGACACATCTGTAACATGCGTAACTGGTAATTTCATCTTAAACAACTACATTTTTCATAGTTTTATATAAGTAAACCCTTATAATTTTTACGAGTAGTGTTAACGCAAACGGTTTATTTATTTTCGCATGTAGGTAACCAATGAAGATGATTTGTGTCGACCAATTTCAGTCTACTCGAGTTAAACGACAATAGCGTGATCAACCAGTTAATGTCAGAGTCGCACCTTAGTTAGTATCCAACGCGGATTACCCTTCCGTGGTATGACTATTATGACGACCGTAAAACACAAATGACGTTATCACGGGAATATTTTAGTGAGAGTAGGTACAAGGAACAGAGTGAGGTCACCAACGCAGTAGCCATTCCATGGAATGCGACTGATAACTGGGCGTTGGTTATCCTCGACCCTGACGACGATCGATAAAATATTCGATGTTCAGTGATCTGATTGCCAAAGGATTTGATTAGGGACTAATGAGATTTCACTGGCCTTACACGGCACTTGCAGTTTAAACGGAGCAATGAAAGAAGGGGAAATCAATTCAAATCTGGAGGAAATGAAGGGAACATTTCTGAAGGAAATAAAGATGCTAGGAGTATTAGGAGTTTGACAACGCCTCTATATGTAATACCTTTCTAAAAGAAGTGAACCAATACAGTCAAACCAAAAGTCAGAAATGAAGAGGTTCGCGGATGTATTTGAAAAGCTATCGTTATGTGGGGAAGCGTTTAATCTAAGCTGGCTAACGGTCGTAAGAGATGTATAGCACGGTGTACCCACTTGTGATCTGTTACGAATGCATGACCAAGCGTCTTCAGGTAGATGTGCCCATCAAAATTAATGAGGTCAGAATTAAATGTCAATGACTTACAAGACTACTTATTTTAGGGATTTATTTCCCCCTACAGGAATAAGGAAGAAATTGAGATAGACTCGCCAAAAAGTCTTTTTTTGTCGCCTGCCATGGGTTAATTGTGAGACTTTTCCACTTCGTTTCAGCATAGTTTGGAATGCTTTGAAACTAAAGATGAATATTGTCAGTTAGTATCTGCTTTTCGCCTGATTTAACGATATTTTGTGTAATCCAACATTATACTCATGTGAAATGACTTGATATTTACATGTACCACCATCAATTAAATTAAAAAATCTCTTAGTCTAAATGCATCCTACATTCGTTTTATCTCTATCAGGGGACGAACTTTTCTACCTAGTGAACTACATTTAAAAGTATGCATAACAAAAGACATTTACTTACAGGAATGTAAATCCGGGCCTGAAAAAATACAAAACTACAAGTTCATGACTTATATGGATTCCACGAAATATATCTTAGCCCGATAAAACACCTAAATTGGCCACTAAAATTTCAGCGAACATTTTAGTCGTCACATAAATTGCAATAAACCGAGACATTGAAACACCAAACATTGTTGTTAAATTGAAAAACCAGCAAAAACAACGGGATAAAACACGCCAGTCATCATGTTTCATGATAGAATCAAATACGACTTCATTTCATTTTGATTGGTTGTCAGGTGCAACGTCAAAATTGCGAATGAGAGTGGAGTTCGTCTCCAGCCGTTAGTTCTATTCGGCGAAGTTTGCACATGCGAACTTGCTGGACTCATTAGAGCGCCTTTTAAGGAGTCATTCAGGAGGAAACTTGACCTATTCTTAAGGACTAAGGATATTATCCTACTATGATCTACCAATTTATTTTTCCTCTGTTTCGTTAATATACCTAGGTTCCTGACTGGAGGTATTGGCGATCCACTGCTACTAGACGCGGAAGCCCGTTAAGCGAAAGCTTCCTCTATTCTGTCCACCATCAACTGAACCGTTTGAAGAGCGCCGATTTGGGTTTTATGCGTTACTCAAACAGGTTGTGCTTTAGTGATGTGAGGTAGTATTATCAAACTTCAAATCATTCAGGTTTCCCTGTGTAATAACTTGTAGACTGCTCCCCAAAATTATCACCATCGTTCCAGTTTCTAAATGTACCTATAAACTCGAAGTCCGACACCTAACTGGTGTTCGAACACCAAAAAGATCTTGGTGAAGAAACTGACAAAGTGCAAAGTCTCCTAATCACTCTGAGCAATAATGCAAGATCATTTAAAGTGGGCTTTGTCTCTTAAATGAGAAATGTTGCTTTAGGACTTTTCTAGAACAACATATAAACTAATTGTAGGATGCGAAGTAGTTTAGTGCATTGACCACTTCATTTATCTAAGTGGTCTAGTCAGCTGTGATGTGTTTGTGTTGGGTGAGATCGCGTCACGAATTTGGAAAGTTCGGTTGAGTTTCGCTAAATTGTGTCACTTGTGGTGTATGTGCAGTGTCCATCTACCGACTAAAGTACGAGTATACTGCACAGTAATTCGTTCTGTCCTACTTTATTGCTGTGAAGGATATTCTATGAAAGTAGATGTGAGTAGGCTAAATAGTTTTTGATCATGGGGGCTTTGAAACATTGCGTGCGTTTCTCGGAACGACCGAGTTGGCAATGTTGATGTTTGATAAATGTGTTAGATCGGTCGGTGAGCCTATAAATTTCCATCGACTCAGGTAGTTAGGACATGTGTTATGTAGACCCAACCACTGTATGCCTCAAAGAGCAATGCTTGATTGTACCGTGTTAGGTTGGATGAAAGATAGGCATGGCCAAACAGGAACGTGGCATCAGCCTATGAAGTCACCGACTGTTGTCTGAACTATGTAGGCAGATGCAAACTACTTGTTTAAGTTCACATGTTAACCGCAACCTGCGATTGGAGACTTTAAATGACAGCTCAGAATAATTCACAACAACGAGGCAGGGTGGCTCCCCAAGAAAATCATCTGCTTGTGTTTAGGCGCCCGGGTATTATTCCAGCTCTCATATAAATCGAATTATTTTTGTGGCGTATATATATTTGGTGCCTCCTTGTACCAATATCTGTGTTTAAATAAATAGATAAAATGCATTAAGTCCCTAGCTGCCTCTTGGTTTCAGATTTCAATATCCCTTCATACATAAATTTCCTGTCTTCTTAATCAATATTCTCGATGTTTAATCTTCCGTTTTGTCACTTCTACATTATTTCCGTCCTTTTATCTCGTCGTGCTAATTATGTATGAGTACGTCGGGGGATTCAGTGTAACATTTTATGTACTCGGCTTTGAGGCATATTATGTGAGACTAGGGATGGCTACCCAGACGGACCAGGGTTCAAATATGTAACCTAGTGGTTTTAATCAGCAAGCAACTGCTGCACATTTAACATATTAGTACTACTTGTATGAAGTTTAGCATTGGGATGTTGTTATCAGCATACTCAAGCTTGTAGATAATTTTGCATCCAGAGACTACAACTAATTCACAAAATACAGTGCATATAAACAATATGTTTTCGGCATCTCATAAATGGTTTCGCTTTCCGTTTTCATAGGCGTTTGTAGATAGTAGGAATATGCGTTTATGCTCAGTCTTTCAATAAGTTACTCATTTCAAATTACTCATATTGAAGCTTAGATTTAATCTTACATCAATGCACCCGGGTCTGGTAAATTTGAAGACCAGTGTCTTAATTTATTACACAGGGATTCGAGAAAGTATGTCGCTTTATCACTTTCTATTTTACGGAGTGTCTTGTAAATTGAATAGGTTTTTGATCAAACAAACCATGCACAAAGTGTCATCTTTTAGAGCTGTTATTAAAAGTGTCAATTAAATTAACTGGTAAATGTATTTGCTGAAACCTCTAAGATAAGGTTTTTTATCGTGTTCTTCACCGCAGAAATGAAATCTGGCTCCAAAATACAATAATTTATACCTCTGGATATGTAAAACGTTTATTTACCATGTTGACTTATCATCGTCTGCTAAAATCTACAAGAAAAGATGCTAGTTCCGGATTATGGTTGGGACTTATCGTCCCTGCTTTATTACTTAAAACAGATAATAAAGCACTCGCTTACGAATTTTTTCTATCTCTAATTGCTGTACTCTTCTTAACGAAAAATAGTCATTTTAAACATGCTGTCATTCCTATATGTATATGGCTGAATTGTCAACATTTTCACCATGTTAGTACGGTGATTCGTTCTTTGTTTACAGTTGTGTTTGTTCTATGTTTTTCTTACAAATTACTAAGTTTATTTCCTTTTTCGTTTACGTTTGGTGAAACTATGCTACTTGCTCATCTTTCTGCAGTATTTCTTCTTACTGAATGTAATTTTGTAGTACCATTTTTAATACTCTTTCTAATTGAACGATATTCTATTAGATTCTCAGTGAAAATGGCTTTTTCTGTGTTAATAACACTTACTATTTTGACTGGATGCTTTTGGATTTACACTTGTCGTGTAAAGATAGCTACTAGCTTCATTATAAATCAAATTGAATGCTTTATTGTGTCAACTAATTTCATTTTATTGATATTTTGGTTATGCTTATTTATGCTATGTGTTTATATTACTATCGTTTATCGTTGTTCTGATCATAACACTTATCGAATCATGAATAGTAATACAGTTAAACCAGAATTTTGTGATAGTTCAATGGTATTATCCGATGAATTGAGCCTATCCGATCAAAGTGAATATCATGAATTATGTAGCGAAAATGAGTTAATTAAAGATAATCATACAACTTGTGATTTATTATATGATGATAGAGAAGAAACGTTCCAAATTCGTAAACTATTTCATTTTGCTGCTGGTATTGTATATTCATCTGGTTTGCTCTATTCACCACATCTTCTTTCATTGATGTCTGTCGCATTACTTATTGTATTTTGGTGCTTTGAATGGATTCGAAGGCGAGGGGTAAGTTTGTTGATACTTTATTTAGACTACGTTGATTATGATTATACTTACAGGTAGGTTTTGAGATCGATACTCAATGTAATCACACAGGGGCTTGTTTGTCAAGTGCATTATAGTGTCTTGTCAAGCTGGATTGTTACCTACTTATATACCTATTTAGCACCAATGCCAAACGGTAGAGAATAGCCATACAGTTTACTTTGATGTAGCTGTATCTAACAGATAGAGACATGTGCAAAAGCCATCATGGTTCAAAACATCAGTCAGTCAGCTGCAGTGTAGGACCAGGCACATATATGCATCGTTCCAAGTTGCCATACTGGATTAGCACAACAAGATGAACACCGGATTCATAGTAGTTAGTTCAGTGGTGGTAATATATAGAAGATAGATTGCATATAAAGATATAGCGCAGGAAGAAACAACTAGTTCGTAGAAAGATATGAAGCAATTTTAATCTCATAGTTTAAGGGAAAATAAAGAGTGTATACACCCACGCCATTGTGATCGATGTTGAGCCATGTCACCAAGAGTCTCCAACCATTGGTTACGATAGTCACACGGACCCTAAGCAAGTAGTTTGCATCTACCAACATGGCTCAGACTAGAAGTTAGTGACTTTGTGGACTGATGCCACGTTTTGGTTTGGCCACCCCTAACTTTCTTCCAACCACCCCCAACACCGGTTAGCATTGCGCGTCGTGATAAACGGTGTTCAGGCATACGCAACATGTGGCCCAACCATCTCAGTCGATGAAGATTCACAACCTCATCAACTGATTTACCATCATTCCCTAATACCCTGCGTCTAACCTCACTATTCCTTACCCGGTGATCCCAACAGATGCGAGCAATACTTCTAAGGCATCTGTGGTCAAATACTAGTAGCTTACGAGTATTTTCAACTCTTAATGGTCATGTTTCGCAGCCGTGAAGTAGAATGAAACGAACTGCAGCGCAGTATACTCGTCCCTTAATTGATAGACGGATATCTCGCCTGCGCCACAGGTGACGTAAGTTGGCGAAAGTCAAACAAGCTTTTCGAATCCGTGCTGAGATTTCGTCAGACACCAACCCATTAGGGCTGACCAGACTTCCAAGATGAGTGCAGTTGTCAACGCGTTCGACTACTTCACTCCCTATCCTTAGTTTAGGTGTTGATGCAAGCCAGTCCTGAAGCAACAACTTGCATTTAGAGGGAGGGAAGTGCATTCCAAACATTCTGGCATTGTTGCTCAATGCTATCAGAAGACTCTGCATTTTATCAGCGTATTCACCAAACAGGACTATATCAGCTGCGTGTTCTAAGTCGATAAGTGGACCTCCTGGTAGGAGACCGATCTCCGAGAATTCAGTCGATGAGAGTGTTATTTCCATCACTTGGTCTATGATGAAGTTAAACAAAAATGGAGAAAGTGGACAGTTTCGACGGACACCACTTGAGGTTACAAAAGCAGATGACAGTTTACCATAAGCTCTCACTCGTCTGGTAGTGTTCGAGTAAAGAGCCTTCACAAGCTTTATATACTTCTGAGGTACACCTTTCAATGACAGACTGCCACAGAATCTCGTGGTCTACCGAGTCGAATGCTGCTTTTAAGTCAAGAAAGACCACCATTGTCGGACGCCTATAAGCATGCCTGTGTTCTAGAACCTAACGAATGGTGAATATGTGGTTGATGCATCTATGATCAGGTCTAAAGCCAGTCTGATTTTCTCGTGTTTGCAGTTCACGAGTCTTATTTAGGCGTCCGATACTTACCGAGGCTAGTATTTTAGATGCTATATTGGTTAAACTAATCCCTCTATGGTTATCACAGGATAATTTTGACCCTTTCTTATATATTGTGACATCCAGTGATTGTGACCAGTCAGATGGGATAACGTCCAACCCCCAGATTTTTGCTAAAATATTTTATTTATTTATTTATTTTAACACATAAGTATAGGTACACTTACTTACTTACTTACTTACGCCTGTTACTCCTCGTGAAGGAGCATAGGCCGCTCACCAGCATTCTCCATCCAACCCTGTCCTGGGCAATTCTTTCAAGCTCTTTCCAGTTCTTATTCATCTTTTTCATATCTGCTTCTATTTCCCGACGTAATGTGTTCTTTGGCCTTCCTCTTTTCCGCTTCCCTTCAGGATTCCAAGTTAGCGCTTGTCTCGTAATGCAGTTTGATGATTTCCTTAATGTATGTCCTATCCATTTCCATCGTCTTTTCCTAATTTCCTCTTCCGCTGGAAGCTAGTTGGTCCTCTCCCACAAAAGACTGTTGCTGGTGGTATCCGGCCAATGGATGTTGAGTATCATGCGTAGACAGCTATTGATAAATACCTGTACCTTCTTGATGGTGGTTGTTGTAGTTCTCCACGTTTCAGCTTCGTACAGTAGAACTGCCTTGACGTTGGTATTGAAGATTCTGACTTTGATATTGGTTGAAAGTTGTTTTGAGTTCCATATGTTCTTCAGTTGAAGGAATGCCGCTCTAGCTTTGCCAATCCTCGCCTTGACGTCTGCATCTGAACCTCCTTGTTTATCGACGATGCTTCCCAGGTATGTGAAGGATTCCACGTCTTCCAGAGTTTCGCCATCAAGAGTGATTGGATTGCTGTTCTCCGTGTTGTGTTTGAGGACCTTGGTTTTCCCTTTGTGTATGTTGAGTCCTACTGATGCAGAGACTGCTACTATGCTGGCTGTCTTTATCTGCATTTGTTCGTGTGTATGTGATAGGAGGGCTAGGTCATCTGCGAAGTCCAAGTCGTCTAATTGGTTCTGAGCTGTCCAAGTATAGGTACAGGGAGGCACCAAATACATATGCGCCACACAAATCTCAATTGATTTGTGTGAGGGCTGTGATACTGCCCGGGTGCCCAAACCAAAGCAGGTGGTTTTCTTAGGGGGCCACACCCCGAGCCTTTGATCTGAACGTCTGACCCACAAGGCAGTGGAGCATCGTAAGGAGATGCAGTCCCATGGTAGCCGGTGACCAACGATTGGTTCATACGCCATTTGTTCCTTCAGGATATTGGAGCTAGCCCATGTGCACCATTGGTTTGGGATCCGGTTAAAGTGCCGGAAATTCGCTTTTCGTTCTCTTATTTTCGTAAACAACACCCGTGGTGCGAGAAGGCAGTGAGTAGGACTTCCCTGGCAGAGGCTATATACGCATGGCCATGTGAGAGCATTTCGAGAGGGAGGGCGGACTCTCCCTACTCTCGGCCGTACCAGGGCATTTGGGGGCTAAAATATTAGTCGATCTAATCTCTAAAATTGGACCAGCATCTTTAAAGACCTCTGAAGCCAATCCATCTGGACCAGCTGCCCTTCCCCGTTTTAGATTAACTATAACCTTTCGAACTTCAGCTAGAGTTGGAGGACCTACTTCAATGTTCCATCCACACTGTCTGGGAATGGAGGGTAGTTGTAGAGTAGTTGAGGGCCAGCTTAACTGTTCTCCGCCCATCGTTCTAAACGTCTGTACTGGGAGCAGATAAGAACGTCGTCTTTTTCCAAGATAGTCTCTCTTACACGTGACTTATTAATTCCACTTTCTTTTATTAGTCTGTAGAGTTGTCTTGTGTTCCCTATAGCCGCCATCTTTTCCATCTCTTTTGCTTTCGTTGCCCACCACTGCTCACGGTCATCACTTAGACTCTTGGTTAACCTTGATCTGATTTGTTTTCGCCCTTCATTGTGTTCAAAGCCTGATGGGATGAGTTTACGAGAATCTATCAGTGCAATAGACCTTGAAGAAATCCATTGGTTCTTTGTAACCCTGTGGTTTAAATCACTAATGGATCACACTGCTGTTTCCACAGCTGCTTGTATATCTTTCCAAGCAACATCTGAGTCAGCCTCGTTTTCAGAACTACCTAAGTGTGACCTCAGTTGTTCCTGGAACCTACTTTTGGTTTTCTTGTTACTCAGTTTGCTCTGCCCTCATGCTTAGTGCTTTGCCTATTCTTGTCAGTCCACGAGAACTAGCCATCGGAACGCCAGATACACGGAGGGTGTATCTCGTCGGCTCTCCGTTTTGCTGAGGTGAGGCCAAGAGAACGACCGCACTAGGATCCTGTATGCGTGTTTCGGAGACACAGCATACATCAATGGTACGAGATTCTAGGGCTTTAGCCAAGGAGGCCTGCTGATTAATTTGACATAGTGTGCGTACGTTGAAGGCTCCAATGTGTAGTTTGCAGTAAGGTTTCAGTAGACCTGGGACAGTGTTTTTCGCACTGGAATCGTTGGCTATGGTGACACTCGAGGAGGAAGTCAAAAGAGGAAGTTTAGTGTTGAAAGTCGATGTAGGAGGAATAATATGAATTAAAGAGAGAGGTTGATTATGAATACAGTGGTCTTAAGTGCTGTTAGAGGTATGAGGGCGGTTATCACTTCTTGGTTGCCCACACCGTGGAATGGTTCTTCTGGAGGTACCTGAAAAGGAAATTGGGTTAAAGGTGGTCTTAGTGACCCGAGAGCGTGACCGCAGTGCTCAAGGGACAGCTGCTTGAGGTCGGTCACACATGACTTTTTCGTGAGTAATTTTTGTGTTAATTCCGTACTTGTTGAGACCTCACCTCCAGAGATGGATATCCGTGGGATAAGGCGAGGTGTACATTTTTAAGGTCAACCATTTCTAACCTCACCCCTCCCTGTGGGAAGGCAGTGTCTCTGTTATGCTAATTGTCTGAAGGAAACTCCTTACTGCTGTCACACCTCTGTACAGTCAGCGACACGACTTCGCATTCGGACCTTTAATTTGTTGCTTTTGGTCCTACCGCTCTCCAACCGACCTGTCTGACACGGTAGGACCTTGAGAAACGGTTGTTCCAGCCAGTATAGCTCGGTTGCTTTATCACGATAGGCAAGCCCGACCACCACGCCAAGGCAGCAACAACAATTGGGTCGTATTTGTTTCAACATGTATTGTGCATAACAACACAGAAGATTTCATATAACCGCTAGAAGGATGTATTACACAATTTAAAATGACGATATTTTGAAGTAATAAAGTAATGACAGGTTATATAATCAATCAGTGAGTAAATAAAAAAAACAATATTGAATGGAAGGCACTACAGTTTAAAAACAACTTAGATAAGGATTTTTCACTTACGAGATTTCGTTTTACTTTCAGGTGGAGTGTAACTGAAAACGACCTTAGAATCATCATTGACTTCTATTTTAAACCTTGTCTTAAGCCATCAGGTTTGATGATTCTTAGAATCTCTTCAAAGGACTCGGTCACATCTATTTCATTTTAGTCTACCGAGTAATATCACTTAACCGTACAAAAAGCTATGAATCGAGGCCAATAGCATAGACCTGTACTTAATAAGTGTGATACATAATAAGTTCCTCTGGGAAACAAGCTTACATAATTGTACATAATTTCAAACAAATTTTCAATGTAATACTTAAACTAGAAATTATTTTTAAATTTTCATTTCTAAATTGTAGACATCTACTCTTTCCTCCTACCTTAGTACTTTGGTTAATCCATTTCGCGATAAACGAGATTCTGGTGATATTCTATTCACACCTATTGCTCTTTTACTCGGTTTAAGTGTTCCTGTTTGGTGGCCACAAAATAGAAATTCTAATGGGAATATAATTAGTATTGGTAAGTAAATTAAAGTTTATCGGTTTTATAGAACATTTTGCTTTAAAAAATTATCTATTTGAACACAAACATTGGTACATGGCGGCACCAAATACATAAGCCCCACACAATAAAAATGAGGCCAGTAGTAGTTATCATTGATTTGTGTGAGGGCTGTGATACTGTCCGGATGCTCAAACCAAAGCATGTGGTTTTCTTAGAGAGTCACCCCTGGAGGTTTTGACCTAAGTGTCTAATCTACAAGGTAATGGATCAGTGTTAGGAGATGCAGTCCCATAGTAGTCGGTGACCAACAGTAGTTTCATACGCCATTTGTTCCCTCAGGATCCTATAGCCCATGTGCACCACTGGTTTGAAATCAGGGTTTTCCAACTCCCCTAGGCGGATCCTCCATATCTACCAACCCGGTTAAAGCACTGGTATTCGCTTTTCGTCCTCTCAATTTCTTAAGCAACAGTGATGCCGCGAGATGACAGTGAACAGGACTTCCCTGGTAACGGCTGTATACGCGTTGCCATGTGAGAGTATTTCGAGAAGGAGAGCGGACTTTCTTCACCTTCGGCCGTAACAGGGAATTTGGGGCTTTTAGTAAAAAAAAACTTACAACTATCTGAAAAAGTACAACAAAATATAGAGCACATTCGACTCTTTGAAAATCACATTAAAACTCCTATTTTTAACAATATACAAGATCATAACTCCTTACACTAAGTTCAATCCTTGTTGTGTAAATTCAAACATTGACCCACCAAATATCAAATATTAACTCTACTGGTAGATGAAAGTAGTATTTAGCTAGTATTTTTATAAGTTAGTGAAGTAGTTCAGTGGTGACTGATTCTTTTGTTTTTTAGATCACAATTCATTATCATTCATGAGCTTGTGGTTAAAAAACTATCCTAATTGTGAAGTGTCGATTTAGTTTACAAGTTTTATGGATATGCTTATGACAGAGAGTTAATAATCTGTTCATCAGTGACTAGCTCCATATGGATTCCAGAATTTCTAGTGAAAAGTGATTCCTGTTGGAGTTGAACCATGTCACTAATACGACTAGATGCTGACGTTACCCGAAGTGTATCGTATCTAACACTCGGTCGTTTCTCCTTCCCTTTAATGAGTAAGTTCTGCATTTCGAAGCATTTTTTATTAAAGATTTCATTTCAAATACTAACGTCTACCTTACTTGTATTTTTTATCCGGTATTTTTCGTTGGGCTACATTGGATTTTTCCAATAACAGTGGTGAATAAGTTCAGGAGAATTGGACGATCGTTGTGTCGCTATATAATGCTCATTGATTGAATTCATAGGTGTAAATTATCGAATTCTAAACCATTGGTTTCAAAAGTTATCATGTTCGTACAGAAAGAAACCTGACAGTCTTGAGTATGATTTCATGTCCGGTGGTCATAAATAATGCTCTACTTCGTCCAAATTAGTTAATATATGTATACAATTAGTAGAGGAATAATTTGACAAGATTTATACACGATGATCACTTTTTCAGTTGCTATGATAATTACTAGTAAATAAACAGTTGAATTTTGAAGAGTATATATTAATATGTTCATCAGTGACTAACTCCATATGGATTTCAAAATCCCTTTCCGATTGTAATCATATGCTCACTAGTGACTGTCTCCAAGAATTATTTCCTAGAGTTCAACTGTATCTGTTGTGAGGTAGTAACTCACTTAAGACCACAGTGGTGCAATTTCGTTAAATGGTTAAATTTAGACATTAACACCGTCGGGTGCCGGCTCACTGGTCTAAAGGTTAAGCGTTCGCGCACGAGACTGATAGCTCCTGGGTTCGAATCTTGCGAGGCGGGATCGTAGATGTGCACTGCTGAAGAGTCCCATACTAGGATGAAACGGCCGTCCAGTGCTTCCAAGTTGTCCATAGTGGTCTAGCTTCAATTGACTCATGAATTCAATTATTAAATATATTAATTTACTTACTTACTTACTTACACCTGTTATTCCTAATGGAGCATAGACCGCAACCAGCACTCTCCAACCCACTCTGTCCTGGGCCTTCTTTTCTAGTTCCATCCATTTCTTGTTCATTTTTCTCATGTCTATCTCCATTTCTCGGCGTAATGTGTTCTTTGGTTTTCCTCTTTTTCTTCTGGCTTTGAGGATTCCATGTGAGGGCTTCTGTTGTGACGCAGTTCGGTGCTTTCCTCAATGTGTGTCCTATCCACTTCCAGCGCTTCTTCCTGATTTCTTCCTCCACTGGGATTTGGTTTGTTCTCTCCCACAGAAGGTTGTTGCTAATAGTTTCCGGCCAACGGATCCAAAGTATTTTGTGTAGATAACTGTTAATAAACACCTGTATCTTCTGAATGATTGCTTTTGTAGTTCTCCAGGTTTCGGCCCCATACAGTAGAACTGTCTTCACATTTCTATTGAAAATCCTGACCTTGATGTTGGTTGATTGACAGTTGTTTTGAGTTCCAGATGTTCTTCAGTTGTAAATATGGTGCTCTTGCTTTGCCGATCCGCGCCTTCACATCTGCATCAGATCCACCGTATTCATCAATGATGCTGCCCAAATATGTAAAGGTTTTAACATCTTCCAAATCTTCCTCGTTAATTGTGATTGGATTCGTGCATGTTGTGTTGAATTCTGTATGATATTGACTAACTTCTGAGGCACGCCGTAGTGTCGAAGAAGCTTCCATAGTGTTGTTCTGTCCACGCTGTCAAATGCTATTTTGTAGTCAACGAAGTTGATGTAGAACGATGAATTCCATTCAATTGATTGTTCCACAATGATCCGTAGAGTTGCGATTTTGTCTGTATACGATCTATCCTTACGAAATCCTGCCTGTTGGTCTCGAAGTTGGGTGTCTACGTAGTCCTTCATCCTGTTTAACAATACCCTGTTGAAGACTTTTCCTGGTATTGAGAGAAGAGTGATCCCCCACCTACACTCATTCCCAAACACTAGATACTTAAGAATTCATCTTTTAAACATTTTGGTGGTTCTACAGCATTTCCGATTGCTCCATTCTGTTTCAATATTAAGGAAAATAGTCAAAATATTTAAATGGAACTACTTAATCTGCTACTTGACAAAAACTTAAATCAACGCTTTATATGTACATCATTGAGGAGATTTTATTCATCATTAATAGAGAACAATTTTTTACTATGATTTCCATACAAAGTATTCAATTATCCGTAAAATTACTTATATCAATACATATTTTAATATCTGAACTTTATAGCATGAATATTAAGACAAGCGAAATGACTATCAATTACCAAGTACCAAATGGAAAACTGTGCATATTTGCACTCGTGCTATTGATAAAATATCATTAACACTGATGACTGAGCAACTAGGTATGAACTTCTTTGGTTGTTAATGGGTATCAATGCCTTAGTTAAAAAAAATGTTTTGCAACCTGACTTAGAGCTTAGTAATTGTGTTTATCAAACCATTCAGTTAAATAGTTTGATCAATTCTGTGTTTTTCTTTTAATTATGTATTATTAATAATTAACTATCTATTATTATCCGCCGAAAACGAGCAGAGAAAGTCCAAGCACAAGCTGAGTACATAGAAGCAAACAAGAAAGTGAAGAAGAGCATTAGAGCTGACAAGCAAAGTACGTGGATGAACTAGCAACGACGGCGGAAAAAGCTGCAAGAGAAGGAAATATGAAACAGCTTTACGATACAACGAAGAAGCTAGCAGGGGAATATAGTAAACCAGAGAGACCAGTCAAAGACAAAGAAGGAAGACCAATCACTGAGATTCAACAACAGCGGAACAGATGGGCAGAGTACTTCCAGGAACTCCTAAATAGGCCGGCTCCAATGAATCCACCGGACATCGAAGCAGCACACACAGATCTTCCTATAGATGTTCTACTGTACGGAGCTGGAACGTGGAGAACTACAACAACCACCATCAAGAAGGTACAGGTATTTATCAATAGATGTCTACGCAAGATACTCAACATACATTGGCCGGATACCATCAGCAACAGCCTTTTGTGGGAGAGAACCTACCAGCTTCCAGCTGAAGAGGAAATTAGGAAAAGACGATGGAAATGGATAGGACATACGTTGAGGAAAGCATCAAACTGCATTTCGAGGCAAGCGTTAACTTGGAACCCTGATGAAAGCGGAAAAGAGGAAGGCCAAAGAACACATTACGTCGGGAAATAGAAGCGGATATGAAAAGGATGAATAAGAACTGGAAAGATCTGGAAAGGATTGCCCAGGACAGGGTTGGATGGAGAATGCTGGTGAGCGGCCTATGCTCCTTCACGAGGAGTAACAGGCGTAAGTAAGTAAGTAATTATCCGCATAAGCTTAAGTCAGTAAATTATCTCTTTTTTTAAAACCAAAACAATGACTAATTTTCATTACATCATAATGGTTTCGACAGTACATAGATTTTGTAAAAAAGTTTTTATTCTAAATTTATAACCAGGCAACCTATGCTACGAATTGGATGTGAAGCCGTCATCATGGTCAGGAGTTCTATCAATAGCTATAGGCGATAGTTTTGCTGCATTGATTGGACGAGCTTACGGAAAACGTCGTTGGCCTGGATCACATCGAACATATTTAGGATCTTTCGCTTCTTTCTTTTCACAAGTATGTATATATGTATGTGTATATTGTAATAATATGAGCATGGATTGATTTAATATTGAAAAAAATTTGTTGAATGATCCACTGAACTGTCGTTATTCTTATCTTCTCTCTAAGGATTTTAATCTCTAACGCATTAGTGACACTAAATTAGTTTCGTGATAATCTAAGGATAATATATCAAAAAAATATTTTGCTTTGTATTGGCAGATTATTGAACTTCGCTACTGTGATTTGTCAAGAAGTCCTTTCAAGTGCCATTGGTACGACTGGGAAAAGTGAGAGCCAATGATTCCGATCAAAATGCTTCAATGTAGATTTGTCAGTTTATGTCTCCTGAAACCGGGCCCCAAAATATATGTTGAGGCTTTTATTGTTCGGACTCTTTAGTATAGTAGCGTTTGCCAGAAAAGTTTTGTCCACCTATTTCTCACATCGAGGGTATTTTCTAAAGTAAAGCTCTCGAAACCCAAGTCTCTTAAATTGGCTGAATGGACCCAATTTAGTGTTTAGGGTGCGCTCAACTTTTAGCCGTTAGCTCCTCGGTTCAAACCACGTTCCATATACTTCAGTTTAACCGATTAGGTTGTATTGTCATAATCCGTCATTCTTAGGATATGACTTATATCCGCCTGTAGCTCTTCTGGAGTTACTGCCGATCCCAAGTCCGGGTAAAGGAGGAGGGTCGGGCATGGGGTCGGCAACACCATCCCGTAGAAAAAAACACTAACCGAATTCAATCAATTAAACCATTCGTTGAATGAGTTGATTAAATTCTCAAGAGTGCACAACTCCATGGAAATACTCTCTGGTTTCTCTTTTTGAATATATATGAGGTACAAGTATTGTTTGCATTACTAGTAAATCCTATGTTAACCGAAGTCAGAGTTTTGATTTTACTTTCTCTGTACAAGAAATCTGCTTTTAATAGAAGTTGTTGAGATCAATGAACTTGCTGAATGTTTAGAAACTTCATAACTTTCAGTCCTAGAAAAGACATAGAGCATTTCTTGTAATCAAAACTATGATAGTGTCATTTAGAATTAGTACTTCCCACTAATGTATTCCAACTCCCCGTGTAATAAGTAATCGATAACTATCAGCGGTGATGAAGAGTGGCCAGCAGTCGAATTCAAAACATGGGTTTCGTCCCATTTGGCACTCGTTAGCTGGGTATATCTGCATTTTACAGTTGATTTTCACTCCGGAACTCGAGCTCAGTACCGTTCACTTCAAACGCTGTCGAGTTATCCTCTTAGCTACTAAGTCCACATAGCCACTGGCTTAGGTTGTGCAATAAGGTGAAGTTCAATTCATTTATATTGGTTGTTCGAATCTTCCCATTGATGTTCAGGACTGCAACTGTCCAACTCTTGGGTGCAGCAGGTACATTCAGCTGACGAGTCTTAAATAATACAAACAGGTGTCCCGGATACTACTGCTAACTATCATCTGTCTGTGCTTATATTGCTTGTAACTTAATGGCAATATCGAAATAATGTGTGCAGGATGTGCATTTTCCAATAAGAGACTGATTAATTTTAGTCCTAAACATCAATGGGAAGATCCAAATAACCAATACAAATGAGTCCAACTGATTTAATTCATAAAATAATATTGAGTTCGTATTTCCATTATTCTGTCGTTAAAATAATATCATCAGATTGTTCACAAATATTTCTAACACACTGGAAACTTACCATCTAATTATTGTAATAATCTGGTTTGAAATGTTAAATCATCGTTTTTTGCTATCATTTTGTTACCCTGAAGAGACTGAATTTCTAAATGTACGCCATCTAATGAGAGGATAAGATTTGTCTTGACAATGTCATCTCGCTGTACTAATTAGCTTATGTTAACCTGAACCAATGTACATATGTGCTGTGTTCTGCGTTGCATCTAACTTACTAAGTAATTGATGGGAGTAGGGAGTTGGTGGTTGGCTCTCTTCTTTTTGTTTGCAACCAAATTATTGAATACAATTATGAGGGGAAAAAAGTGATCTTTTTCTAACTTAATGTATAAAGTTAGTTAGTAACCTAGAGGTTTTGGGTAAAATAAAAAATTTCATTTCAGAACAACAATCTTTTCCAACCGACATCAGGTGATAGACAGTTTCATTCGTCTCATCCACTTTTTTATTTTAATTTACACATAGATATTGGTATAAGGAGGCACCAAATACATATGCGCCACACAAATCAAATGAAATTTGTGTGACAGCTGTCATACTGCCCGGGTTCCCAAACCGAAGCAGGTGGTTTTCTTAGGGGGCCACACCCCGAGCCTTCGACCTGAAGATCTGATCCACAAGGCAGCGGAGCATCGTAAGGAGATGCAGTCCCATGGTAGTCGGTGACCAACGATTGGTTCATACGCCATTTGTTCCTTCAGGATACTGGAGCTAGCCCATGTGCACCATTGGTTTTGGATCCGGTTATAGCGCCGGAAATTCGCTTTCGTCCTCTCATTTTCGTGCGAGAAGGCAGTGAGTAGGACATCCCTGACAGAGGCTTTATACGCGTGGCCATGTGAGAGAATTTCGAGTGGAAGAGCAAACTCTCTCCACTTTCGGCCATACCAGGGCATTTGGGGGCGTCTCATCCATAGTACAAATCTTCCCAGTTATAATATGTTTTAGAGATAATCCAATAAATTATTTCAATGTATTTCTATAGAACAGTGATTGATTTAATTGATTGATTACGCCTGTTACTCCTCGTGAAGGAGCATAGGCCGCTCACCAGCATTCTCCATCCAACCCTGTCCTGGGCAATCCTTTCCAGATCTTTCCAGTTCTTATTCATCCTTTTCATATCCGCTTCTATTTCCCGACGTAATGTGTTCTTTGGCCTTCCTCTTTTCCGCTTTCCTTCAGGGTTCCAAGTTAGCGCTTGCCTCGAAATGCAGTTTGATGCTTTCCTCAATGTATGTCCTATCCATTTCCATCGTCTTTTCCTAATTTCCTCTTCCGCTGGAAGCTGGTTGGTTCTCTCCCACAAAAGGCTGTTGCTGATGGTATCCGGCCAATGTATGTTGAGTATCTTGCGTAGACATCTATTGATAAATACCTGTACCTTCTTGATGGTGGTTGTTGTAGTTCTCCACGTTTCAGCTCCGTACAGTAGAACTGCCTTGACGTTCCTATTGAAGATTCTGACTTTGATATTGGTTGAAAGTTGTTTTGACTTCCATATGTTCTTCAGTTGGAGGAATGCCGCTCTAGCTTTGCCAATCCTCGCCTTGACGTCTGCATCTGAACCTCCTTGTTTATCGACGATGCTTCCCAGGTATGTGAAGGATTCCACATTTTCCAGAGTTTCGCCATCAAGAGTGATTGCATTGCTGTTCTCCTTGTTGTGTTTGAGGACCTTGGTTTTCCCTTTGTGTATGTTGATGCCTACTGATGCAGAGACTGCTGCTATGCTGGCTGTCTTTATCTGCATTTTTTCGTGTGTATGTGATAGGAGGGCTAGGTCATCTGCGAAGTCTAAGTCGTCTAATTGGTTCTGAGCTGTCCATCGTATGCCGTAGTTTCCCTCAGATGTTGAGGTCTTCATAATCCAGTCGACCACCAGAAGAAACAGGAAGGTAGAGAGTAGACAGCCTTGTCTTACTCCGGTCCTTACTTTGAATGCGTCAGTCAGCTGTCCTCGATGCACTACTTTGCACTGTAGTCCATCGTATGAGTTCCGGATAATGTTGACAATCTTCTCAGGAACTCCGCTATAGAACAGTCCTAAATATTTATTTGAATTGGTGATACTAACATTTAAAGTACAAAACCTTCTTAACTCCTTCAAATCTTTATATCAAGTACATTTTAACAAATAACTAAATAAGAATATACTATCCATTTTATAAATTCACTCAATCTTATCATGTTTTATTTAAAGTTTTTCTTTTTTTTTATTATTATTTTGTTATATCATTTAGATTATTGTATGGACAATTATATCATATTATTATTCATGGCATTGGTTAATCGGTATTATTCCTTTATTAATTGGTGTACTTATTGAAGCATATATTGATCAAATTGATAATTTAGTTATACCATTAGTTGTTATGCTTCTATTTCATAGTTTATAATAATCATATCAGGTTTTATTATACACATTATATGTACTGATTTAGATTTGTTTATTTTCTATCACATTTCATGTATGTTTATATGTTTACTTTTGTATGTGTACATAATAAATTAATATATATATATATATATATTTGTTTTGTTTTACCTAATAATAAGCTCTAGTATTCGTTCATTGATTTTGCAACAATAAAATGTTAATAAAAGAAGTTATCAATTACATTAATTTATTGATTATTTTTATTACTTGTAAGAAAATAGAGTTGATATAATGAAAATATTGTTTGTTACAGAATATCTGTTGAACAGTCGGTTTTATAAATGATTATCTATAGTTCTGCCAAGAATTTAATCAAGTAAAATACATTTAAATCATCACTGAGATTCCATAGTCCGAACTTTTAACGTCAGTTAGTTTGTAGTATAATGGGAAAACCACTGGTCGATACTCGGTATAGATTTACAAATCTATTTTGTGTTCGAAAACTATTAAATATTTTATTCATTGAACATCCATTCGGTAACAGTAATGATCATGAAATTGGACCAATTTACACAAACTTTCTAAGTGAACGTGAAAGTTATTTTGGAGGCAAAGAAAAAAAGTGAGTCATTCTGAAAAGATGGTCTTGGAACCATATGTATTTGTCTAGGTTTTGACATCTGTAGGTCTTTCTTAACCTATGTTACTCATAAAGCAATTCGTTACTTAACCGTTCCGCAATGTGTAAATGTCGACTAATAACTCATGTTGGTTTTAAGTTTACCTAAATTATATTTCCGTTTATCCAATAATCTCTGATGTATGCATTTTACGATGTGACAAACAATATGGATAGATCTATTCATTCCTATATATTAACTACATTTTGATAAGATCCTTGTTTTTCCTTATATAAGCATGCAGGGAAACGAGTTGTGCTAGATAATCTCTAGAAGCATGTGTTTCAGGTCAATCTCCAATCAATAGGTTTTTTAAAATGAATTCGCAATGGATCAGACGATCAAGTGGTTAAAAGTTGGCTGGTTGAAAGGAAGATTATAGGGACCTGTGATCTACTGAGTTAGTCGATTATAAATAGTCATCATAGTGAATATGATGGGTACGTGGACATCTAAATATCTATGAGCAAGGGATAGCAGGCACGTTAATAGGACCCAGTCGTTTACTGTTGTGATCAAGTAGTCCTTTAACAGTAGTCGTCCATAGTAATTGGGTAGGGTCATTTCCATGTTGACGCTTACATTGTGTTCTCCTTCGTTAAACTTTATCGCAATGACTATGGTTCTGCTTGCATCTCTACAGGAAAGCATAAACCAAAAATGTATTGAGACAAATGTGTTAATAAATCTTTGAACATGATACTATGCAGTTAGTCTATACATCACTATAACTGTCTAAGACGCAATATGATTGCACGTTTCTATGAGTCTTGCGTTCACTTTGTTTTAATTATGTGTGGCTGAACAATTGGTAGGAATGTAAGAGATATAGTTTTACTTCATATCTTAACGTAATATATTCGTTTTGTCCAAGTGCCTACAAGAATTATGATACAAAGCAAACGTAGTGTTTAAACTTGATGAGCAAGCGTCAACGTAACAATATGGTATGACGACTTCATCTGCATATTCACTGAAATAATCATGTTGACTGATCAAACGAGACCGATCCTCTAATACCAAGTGCATATACTTTAGAAGGCAAAACCAACTAAATGTTCTAGGGGGTGGAAAGTGAAATATTTAGATGATAAGTGACCAATCATTCGTGCAACGAAGTACGCAGTTATCTCACATAATCGATATTTAGCCACTTAGAATACGCTTACCTGGGTCTGTTACCCTTCGTGAGAGCACTTGCCGTTGACCGTAATTTTTCTTTCTATTCTATCCTGGACTTTCGATTCCAGTTGTTCCAACTTTCTATTTATTCTTTTGGTGTCTGCTTTCAATTCCATACGTAATGCTTACTTTGGTTTCCCACCTTTCTCTTCCAGATTCCAAATTGGGGCTCGTATCGTAACGTAGACTGGTGAACTCTGCAATATATGTTTTGAACTTGACCGATCCTTGCGGAATCCGACCTGTTGATCTCGTAGTTGGGCGTCTACTGAATCTTTCATTCGGTTCAGCAACACTCAGTTAAAAACTTTTCGTAGTATCGATAGTAGTGTGATGACTCTCTAGTTCTCGCGTTTGGTCAGATCTACTTTCTTTGATATCTTGTTAAGGTGTAGTTCTTTCCAGTCTGTTGGCACATGCTCTCCTTCCTGAATTTTACTGAACAGAAGGTGGAGCACTTTTGCACACATCTCTGTCTGAATTCGCTGCTTCAGTTGGTGTGTTGTCTGGACCTGTTGTTTTCCCACTTTTGATTTGTCTGATGGCCATATTAATTTCCTTGATATTTGGTAAAGTTTCATCTGTAAAAATGTCTATGTGCAGTTTCGATACCCAGTGGGTTCAGTTGGACTGGTCTTTTCAAGTGGTTTTCATAGTGCTATTTCCACTTGTTCCTATGTACTTGAATCTCAGTGATTGAATTTCCCTATTTATGCTTGACTGTTCTCTCTAGTTTACAGCATTTCCCAGCTAGAGTTTTCTTTATATCATACCTTTGTCTCATATTTCCATATTTTTCATCTTTTTTGCTGTCACCGCTAGGTCTTGTACATATTTCTACTTGTCGACACTGAAGCTCTTCTTTACTTCATTGTTTGCTTTAGTGTATTCAGTGTGTGTATTGACTTTCTTTGCTCTTGTTCAGCTGTCATTAGTTGCTGCCTTCTGTTGTCGAGAGTTATCAGGAATTCGTCAAGTTTGTTAGTATCTCGAAGAAAGGCTGTATTGAACCCTTGTAATCCTCTTTGTCCTGTTGTCCAATTCTCTTGTTTTAGATTCATCTTTGCAGCAACTAGGTGACGATGTGGAGCTATGTCAGCTCTTCTCCTGGTTCGCAAATCTCCCATTGACCCAAATGTTTTAGTGTTTTTAAAGCCAACCTCATATTCTTATCAGTTTTGCAGGACCTGATTTATTATTATTTTGTTTTTCAAATATGACAAGTTTAATGCTAACATTATTGAAACTTGTGTGTTTTTGCACTCTTGAAGAAGCTCGAAACGGATTCTTCACAACACTTTTGTACGCATAAAATGTTTGTTAATAATAATAGTAAAATATGATCGACCTGTTTATGTGTATTGTGATCCGGTGACGCCCTTTAATATTTTGAATCTCGCCTTTCACCATAAGGTGTCATAATTCTTCTGAATAAAGCTCCTTCAACTCAGATCTTAGAGTTTAAATAGTTCAAATTTTTTATTCTGATTAGGGTTTCTTAACAAAGTTATTTTCACGGGATGAGGATGCTGACCCTGCACTCACTTCCTCCCTCCACCTGGCTTCCGGACTGTAGGTAAGCCCGTAGGGGCTACAGATAGAGTTTTAGGATAATATATTTAATTGGATTAGTAATGTTATCGTGAATACGTATGCATGGCTGAGTAATGTCTTTGTAGATTCGTATCCATTAGCTCACCTGTTTGGCCCTCACTTATTGTTTTATGTCGAGTTTAAATCTCAAGAACTACGTGTTCAGCTTCAAAGATCATGTGGCTAGGAAACAATGTAATCACTAGATACGTGTTATCGTCAGAAGAGTACGTATTCATAATAAGGAATATGCATCTAATATTATGACAATGTAGGAAAAAGTTCCGACGATTGTCAGATATAAATTCGAAGCGTTTGCGTGTAATTATCAGGGATTGTGATGTATAACATGAGCCAAAACGTGCAACAGGATTATCTGCAACCAGTTGGAAGACAACAGCCTGTAAAGTTAGAATCAGGTGTATATGCGAACACATGTATTTAACGAACCACAACCAACATATAACGAAAAAAGTGAACAGTAATAACGAGAGTCAACTTTAAAAAATGAGTTTCAGTCAAAACAATGTTTGTATACATTGCATGGAACTAATAAAAATTACTAATGTTGGCAGAACTTGTTTACAAATTATGTTTATTCCAACCCACCACAGATGCCGAAGAAAAATGACAGTCGTTGCACTACCTTCTGTATCTTTTGGTAGAAGACTACACTTGTTTGAGTTCAGTAGATAACGGGTGTCACTCAATACCTTGTATCTCCTAAATCACTTATTCCGTCATCGATAAGCTTTTCTACGTCTTAATCATCAGCCTTCATTCATAAGATAAGTAGAACGGTTTATCTGTGTTAATCTATGCAGTATGTACACCAGTTAACAACTAAAGTTTCCTTGAAAGTGTTCATCAGTGGACTAAAAATCACTTTCTTATTTAGTGTGTTCTGGTTTTTTACAACTATGAGAAGAAACCATGTACTACTCTGAGTTTGCTCGAATAAAGATTTAGTAGCTGTTTGTAAAGACTTCGAAGATGGTTGTTCCTGAAGAAACGAAAAATAATGCATGTTGACAGTCAATTCACTATTTTATATGTGAATTTTTAACATGAGATCACCCTTCATCTTACAATAAGATAGAAAGAAAGTAGATGTATTCGTTCTCGTCCCACCTAAAAAAAAATGTTGGAAAGTCATGTTACCAGCTTAATGTCTACTGTTAAAAGAAAAACTAATTTCCATATCTTTGATTAGATGAGTAATATCCGCTTGAACACAGAGTTCTAAATGAGTTCTTTAATTAAATTTAACTCAACTGTAACAAAAAACGATGGAATTCATGTGTTAAAACAATCATAATAACTGTACTCTTATAAAGAAAAAGTGAAATTGGGATTATATATTTCCATAAACAAATGCACTCAGCTGCCAATAAAACCCAAAAAGTAAGGATTTTACTATTTGACTTAGCAAAGTTTGAAGTTTGACCCTGTGAACAGTTTCGAATATTGCTTTGGGAGCGAGTTTTGAGGTTGGCTAGAGAATGAACCCAGGTAGGCTTGTAGAAGTCAAAAGCAAGGTAATCCATTTACAACACGAGAATAATTCCTATTAAAGTTTGGTGCCGAGTTCCGGCGCTTCAGTTTCATGGCAGAGGATACACTACAATACAACGCTTTCTATTCCCTACTTGAACGTATTCACATGTTGTTCAACATCCCTTTTGTTATTCAGTATGTCGAGCCAAAAAACGCAGATTTACTACCGATAAGTAATAACAAGAATTTCGAATTGGCTGTAAATTCTTCGAAGCCTTTACTTAGGATTTTACTTCAGCGAAAAGGTATGTAGATTCATATAAATTTATTTTTGTATAGGTGAGAGTTACGGAGAAATTTACGGGTACAAATCTTCTAAACACGGTTTTATACATCGAGGAGCGGCCGACACTCTTCGGAACTTCGGTGGCAGTGACAAGCATCGTCGATCTGAAAAACCTGTCATAAGCGTTATGAGTGACTTCCACTTGGTCTCATCGATACTGGATGTTGATATTATACCATGGACATTAAGACGGTAAGAATTTATTCGTCTGTAAATAGTATTTTATAATGTTTACTGAAGTCTATCTAACTTCTTATAGTTGATAGTCTTAAGTTTTCGAAACACAGTCATTCTGTACACGTTAAAAAGTTGGGGTTGTGGCTCAGTGGTAGAGCGCTCGCTTAGCATGCGAGAGGGCCCGGGATCGATGCCCGGCACCTCCACATTGCAACAAACAGTTGCCACACTTTGCCCCCAAATGCCCTGGTACGGCCGAGAGTGGGGAAAGTCCGCTCTCCCTCTCGAAATGCTCTCACATGGCCATGCGTATATAGCCTCTGCCAGGGAAGTCCTACTCACTGCCTTCTCGTGGCGGGGGTGTTGTTTACGAAAATGAGAGGACGAAAAGCGAATGTCTGGCGCTTTAACCGGACCCCAAACCAATGGTGCACATGGGCTCCAGTATCCTGAGGGAACAAATGGCGTATGAACCAATCGTTGGTCACCGGCTACCATGGGACTGCATCTCCTTACGATGCTCCACTGCCTTGTGGATCAGATCTTCAGGTCGAAGGCTCGGGGTGTGGCCCCTAAGAAAACCACCTGTTTCGGTTTGGGCACCCGAGCCGTATCACAGCCCTCACACAAATCAATTGAGATTTGTGTGGCGCATATGTATTTGGTGCCTCCCTGTACCTATACTTATGTGTTAAAATAAATAAATAAATAGTACACGTTAAAATTCTGGAGATATTTCGACTCTTCGCAAAAATCACTGTTTATCTGTGATGCAAAAATTTACGAACGTTATCCGAGCAATGTTATTTAAATTAAAGTCGTAATCTTTAGTTTATCTACCAAAAGCGTTCTTTTTTGGATATGCATAAGAATTCAAGAAAGTTATCTAAATAACTATCGACTCTTCCATGACATTTGTACTGTTTGTAAGATATCACTAAGTCACTTTCTATACATAGCATCATATAAACCGTCTCAGTGAGTTATTGAACATAAATTGTGTGGCAGATGTCATCTAAATAGAAATTGGTACGTGTGTTGCCCTAAGTTGCCATCTCAATTCTCATGGTAGATTAAAAATAACAGAAAGGATTACTGGAATTCAGGATCGATAAGAAAATAAGAAGTGAATTCGTGTGACTCCTTGTGATAGATTTTCATCTATTGCATCCGAAGTCTGTAAATGCGGATTGTGCTTATTGAATGTACCACCTTCAGGTAGTCTGGATCTATTTACAGGGCTCAGATCAGCAGTTAATGACCTCCTAAACTGATACCACGTTTCTGGTCCGGCCTTTTAAATGTTAAATTAGTACGAAATAGTTGTCAAGACAATGATATAGCGTCATAGCCCCTTACAACTCATGCTTGAGGGACGTAAAGATGTAACTGTCCCCCCAATTGTCATGTAATTTTATTTTGCCTGTTAGTGATACTATGAGAAGACGTTTATCAGCATATTGACATATATTTGTGCAATACATTTCGAACAATATATATATATATATATATATATATATATATATATATATATATATATATATATATATATATATATATATATATGGAAAGGTAAAAATTCAACTGTACAGATTAGAAGGTAAGAAGAAACAAAGGTTTCAATCTTCATGTACGTGGGGAAATGTACGTAGTGAAGGGCAATCGTGACCCCCCATTAAGGGCGGCTGGGCACATACTAAACTGCAGTGGTCAAATAAGACCAAAGGCCAAGCAAATATCTTCATTGCGAAATACTTGGTTGGGATGAGTCATAGAGTTGATGCCAAGTCAGCCTCCGTAGTGTTATACAAAAGTGTTCAGGGACCTATACTGAGGTTTATTGAAGCCTTGGTTTTACGAAAAATGGAACCTTGATTGCGTTGATCTTTCCTATTACCCAATTTGTTTGGTCGTCTTTTATCTTTTTATGTACAATTTATTAACATGTATATATGTGATCGGGATGTTCAGAATGTATCACGCAAATATATCTTATAATCCTGATAACCTTCGTCTTCACATCACATTTTCCAAATTTACCAAAGGGGTCAATTGTTTTTAATTTCTAACTTGTCACTAACAATTTCTCCCCTCTTTCAAGTGTGCACCAACCCAAATTGTCAGAGCACAGTAAGAGGAAGTCTGCAAAGTAGTCGAAATAGTGATATTAAGGATTTAAACATCTTCAATATGATCCAAAGAGTAGGACTGACATATAAGGATAAGAAGTATAAAATAATATTAAGATTCAAGGTTTCTAGAAGGCTAACCATTGAGTACACTTGTCCTACTGTTATCGATTTCGCACAATCTCATCCATTGTTTCTAACTATAAATTACAACTATCTCTTAGACTAGCTACAAAGCCTGAACCTTTCTTCATAGTTTAAACTAGTAGTCCGTGACTTTATTGACTAATGCTAGGTCTTCATTAGGTCTTTACTAGATTTCTTTCAACCCACGTGCGCTGATCGAATTCTACCTATCAAGTTTTAATGGGGCTGTTAGTGTAATTAACGTGGCAGGAATCCTTCCTTGATGTAGTTTTCATGTTAGCTGGCACCTATTAACATCAGTCTCCTCAAGATTTCAGATATACCTAATCTATGAAGTCAAACAGCTCTTAGTCTGAGGAATACAATAAATCAATCTCACGCTTTTTGATTAAAGTCTAAAATTTAACTACGTTTCTAAGTTATATCGGTTGATGTACGCACTTCTTGTTACCTTGTAAATCTAGAGAATTTTTATTATTATACCTTTTATACTGTGTTTACTAGTATTTTGTTCATTTATTTCCATCCCTTTATGTTAAAAATGAAATGTATTGTAAAATCCTAAGTGAAGCTCAAACCATACTGATGAGCCAAACATTAGAGTTATTTAATTTCAAATATGATTTCATTCTTGATATTTTCTATACACTTGGGGTTCAGCTATTTCGAAAATTTTTGTCTTAAACGTCATGCCAATTTATTTTACTAGTATTCGTATCACTTTTCTTAGTGGTTTTGATATTTTTTGAACTGCTCTTGTTGCAACTATAATCTTTTTACACAATACGTGATCTGAGATATTTGTTGAGTATTAATTTATGTATCTTCGAATTTGAGCAACATGCTGTTAATGTTATGAGGACTAGTGATACTGACCAGCTTCCACAACTAAAAAAATAGATGGAGCGGTGTTCAAATCTACGTGAACTCAGTGGTTAGGAAGTTCAGTTTCCAGCAACTAAGTTACAAATCCAAACTCCGCTCCAGCTACTTCAGTTTAGCAACCAGGTAGTATCACTCATTAACCCACACACTTAGAGTGTGGTCTGGGGTCAACTACACGAATCTGTATGTAATAAATGAGTTGTAAAAAAGTTCAAACCTGCGATCTACTTTTTGAATGCTAAATGCCTTGATTACTAAGGCATTTCTTCACTGTATATAGATTTACCTAAAGCTTTATTCTCTATCCATATATATATATATATATATATATATATATATATATATATATATATATATATCCACCCATCTAATTCTTGTAATTTTTTATCTAGTGTAAGCTTGATCCGTTCACCTGGTAAACAGTTTGGTTTAAATATTCGTACTGGTGCTATTCAATATTATACTAAAAATGGTTATGAAACTATCCCAGCTTTTTTTATATCTCGTCTAGCCGAAGACGGGATTGCTTATAATACTGGTTTATTAGCTGTAAATGATGAAATAATTGAAGTTAATGGTATTGAAGTTTACGGTAAATCATTAGATCAAGTCAATGATATGATGGTTGCTAATAGTTCAAATTTAATTATTACCATTCGACCAGCTGATCAAAGTATGTGTTTAGTTCCAAGAGAGATTTCACGTTCAAGATTTTCACAAAGTTCTGATCTTTTGTATGGTCCACGAAAAAATATTCCAATAACTGGACGTAGTTCACCACTATTATTATCATCATCAACAACAAATTATGCTCAATCTCAATCACAATATATCCCATCTCAATTATTATCATCATCATCATCAGCTCATCCATTAACAACAAATGTTGTATCCTCAAATAATCATAATCCATTAAATAGAACAAGTGGATTTAATGGTGATTCAACAATTCAAATTAATGAAGAAATTGAAAGTGATGATGATATGAATGTTGGATTAATTACAATATAAATGGAATTCATTTCATTATTTGTTCTAGTTTATACATTCCGATTCATTTCATACATATACACATTTATATTTGTTTCAAATCTCATATCAATTTATTACAAGGTAATCAACGTTTAGTACTGTTTTGTTTTTTGTTTTTTTTTCTATCAAAAATTTTGTGTTATACTTAAGGGATCTATTGAGTACCCTTCAATACAATGGGTTTATAAAGACTAAATGAATTTTGTGCATTATCTATATGTTGATTGCATCTAAGCCGTGTTATTTTTCCTCCTCCTCCTCCTCATCTTCTTCCTATTCTTCCTGAGAATTCTCTATAGAGAAAAGTAAGAGCGTAACATATCATCATAAATGCATACATATACATGTAGATAATTTATTTGTGATCATCTTTGAAATATAACTCTTTCTTCCTTTATTTCCATGATATAATTAAACAGTATTCTATAAATAATCTTTTTATTTTCATTAAAAAACAAAAACAATAATTAATTCCAAAGTTTAAAAAGGTTTTTCATTTTTGTATTTACTGGTTTGTCTAATGTTTTTTTTTTCTCTCTCCCTCTCTCTCTCTTCACCTCCCTCCTTCCTTCCCTCTCTTTTTGTATTTTTATCTCTGTTCCCTACATATGGATAGAAACAAACAAACAAACAAGCAAACACACACACACACATAAAACATACATTCAAATATACAATTAAGCTCATACATATATAAAATTCAATTTACTAAATGTTATTCATTTGTTTATTTAATTTTCTCTTGGATATTTCTTTCCGGTTAGTAAATAGTATAGTATATCTGGTTACCTTTTCTAATTATGGATAGTGGTTGTTTTGTTTTATTGTTTTCTTTGCTTGATATTATTTCACTGGTTTTTTTTTTAATGAATATTTATTATACCTACACATATCAATAGACATTGCTCAATCTACTACTTACAATTGCACATTAAGTAATTCTTTTAATTTATATATTTACTTTTTTTTTTCAAAAAAGAAACAAACAAACAAACATGAAACTTGACAAAGTCCTTATTATATACTTTGCTTTTGCACCAAGTTGTATTGTTTACAAAAAAAAGTGATTTTTAGTTTAAGGTAGTTTTGATGAAGATCGTTTAACTTATTTATTAGTAGTTTATTTAGTAGATTAATGTCAGATTAGAAATCTTCCCAAAAAAAGTAAATTGCATAAGTGTTTTCGCCATAGTATTCTATTTATTTATTTATTTACTTAAATACATAAACATTGGTACAAGAAGGTACCAAATAGATATGCGCCACATTAATCATTCGATTTATGTGAGGGATGGGATACTGGCCGGGTGCCCAAATCAAAGTAGGTGGTTTTCTTAGGGGGTCACATCCCGAGATCTTGACTTAAGGATCTGATTCACAAGGCAGTGGAGCAACGTCAGAAGATGCATTCTCATGGTATCCGGCGACCAATAATTGGTTTATATGCCATTTCTTTCCTTAGGATACATGAGCCCATGTACACCATTGGTTTGGAATGAGGGTTTTCTAACTGCTCTAAGTGTATCCTTCTGTTGGGGACGTTAGATCCCCAAAACTCATATTTTGTAATTTTATCTTTGTGGAGCTTTTATGCCGATGTATGCTTGGGCATTTCTTACCACACACACACACAGTCCATTGACGAACTTATCGATTAAATGTTTAAAAACCGTGGCGATATCGATCATATATTTTCGTATAAATACGCTTGATTTGTGTGCCTGATTGACCTGGTAGCGTCTGGTTGCCAGTAGAATACACTTCTACGTCTTACCATGACTTCTTGATCGAGTTAGCTGAGTCGGAGACAACGGACCAGAATAGCCTATCGAGTCTCTGAATCCTTGATTCTTCGTTCGCCCCCGAATGCCCTGGTATGGCCGAGAGTGGGGAGAGTCCGCTCTCCCTCTCCAAATGCTCTCACACGGCCACGCGTATATAGCCTCTGCCAGGGAAGTCCTACTCACTGCATTCTCGTGGCGGGGGTGTTGTTTACGAAAATGAGAGGACGAAAAGCGAATTTCCGGCGCTTTAACCGGATCCCAAACCAATAGTACACATGGGCTAGCTACAATATCCTGAAGGAACAAATGGCGTATGAACCAATCGTTGGTCACCGACTACCATGGGACTGCATCTCCTTACGATGCTCCACTGCCTTGTGGATCAGATCTTCAGGTCGAAGGCTCTGGGTGTGGTCCCCTAAGAAAACCACCTGCTTCGGTTTGGGCACCCGGACAGTATCACAGCCCTCACACAAATTTCATTTGATTTGTGTGGCGCATATATATTTGGTGCCTCCTTGTACCGATATCTTTGTGTTAAAATAAATAAATAATAAATGATTATTCGTTGCGTTCCGAGTAAGACGAATCAGTAGTAGCAGTCAAGCGTAACGAACTTAACACCTTCATAACCATCAACCTTTTCGTCCTCTCGATTTCGTAAAAAACAGTGATGCCGCGAGGAGGTAGTGAGTAAGACTTCCCTGGCAGTGAACTCAACAATATGTATACACATACGAACTCACCAAGTATCGTCATGTACATACCCTCAAGCTTTATGGTGAATACACTTCCAATTTCAGGGATTCGAGACATTATCCGGCTGTTATATATCTAAAGCCAGTCTTTAATATAAATATTCTTTCGAGTAAACTTCTCATCTTAATAACGATGATAATAATCATTTGACTTTGAGAATTCGCTATGTTCTAGTGAAAAAACCAACTGAATTCAGTTATTTCAAGAGCTAAACAAGTGATCTCGATTTCAGTGAGTAGTTATTAGGAGTATTGGCTAGTGAACATCAACTCAGTGGATCAAAAGTGACACACCCACCCTGGGACGTTCATGCCTTCGATCATAATAGCCTATTTTAATATACTTTCTCGACTTATAGAACCAAGTTTTAAAAATGTTTCAGGCTTTTCAGAGTAAGTTCTCTGACCGATTAAGTTAAATGAGTTATAGTTGATCCGAAATATATGTAAAACATTGTTGGGAGCAATAAATTGCTATTTAAAGCCCTTTAACTTTCAACTAATTAGTCGTTGGTTCGAATTTCACTTCATTCTTTTCTATTTAAACAGCTTGATTACACATTTCTTGACTTGATACAGAAAAATTTTTGTAACCTCAAGCTGAATACACAGATCTATGTTTGCCTAATCGAATTTATACTTAAATATAGAGCATTTTATCATATATTGCATACACTTTCAAAATTAAAATATTTATAGATAAAACGGGTTTATAAAAATTACTGAATTCTATGGGTTACATTACAAATTGATACTAGTTAAACAATTATTAAAAACAAATAGGACATTAGTTAGTTGTTTCGTTCTAGTATCAGACTATTCAGCATTTACTTTCTTGAAAGGAATTCCTCGTTAACGAGGAATAATTGCAAGCCCCGATCCCAGTCACGACGGTGATGAAACAGTTTGCTCAACCCTTTCGGGCCAGGTTTCCAGACTCGCTGGCACCGTCATTGTAGCGTACGTGTGGCCCCGGACATCTAAGGGCATCACAGACCTGTTATTGCTCAATTTCGTGCGACTTAAGTGTGCCGCTTGTCCCTCTAAGAAGTAAAAACTGGCACCGCACCCGCCGGATCACGACCACACTACTCCATAAAGAAGCAATAGAAGCCGCGCCCTAAACGAGCACAGAGGACCAATCCACTATTTAACAGGTTAAAGTCTCGTTCGTTATCGGAATTAACCAGACAAATCGCTCCACCAAATAAGGACCGCCATGCACCACCCCCAAATGCCCTGGTACGGCCGAGAGTGGGGAGAGTCCGCTCTCCCTCTCCAAATGCTCTCACACGGCCACGCGTATATAGCCTCTGCCAGGGAAGTCCTACTCACTGCCTTCTCACACCACGGGTGTTGTTTACAAAAATGAGAGGACGAAAAGCGAATTTTCGGCGCTATAACCGGACCCCAAACCAATGGTGCACATGGGCTGGCTCCAGTATCCTGAAGGAACAAATGGCGTATGAACCAATCGTTGGTCACTGACTACCATGGGACTGCATCTCCTTAAGATGCTCCACTGCCTTGTGGGTCAGAAGTTCAGGTCGAAGGCTCTGGGTGTGGCCCCTTAAGAAAACCACCTGATTTGGTTTGGGCACCCGGACAGTATGACAGCCCTCACACAAATTTCATTTGATTTGTGTGGCGCATATGTATTTGTTGCCTCCTTGTACTAATACCTATGTGTTAAAATAAATAAATAATTAATACTTTGAAAGAATTCACGGTGAGACTATAATTTATGGATGATCTCTGAGCGACGCTAAAGTGGTCTTGTGAATGTCCATCTACTGACAAGGGCTAAATAAGGGTTTTAAACTTGTGTGAAGGATAAGGATTGTGAATTACAGTTGACGGTTAGGGATAAGGATTAAATTTAGGGTTTTTATCACGAACTAACATCAGCTAAAATCCAAAGATGCTATTTTGCCAAATGGATAAAGCATTTCGCGCTGAAATCCAAGACCTGTTATCGTAAATCTAATTGGTTCGTCTATAAATTATAGTCTCGCCGAATGCAATTCAATTATTGTCGCAGTGAATAGTTTACCTCTCATTATATATAAGTCAAACAATGCGTTACTGTAAATGATATGAAATGGTTGTTTAAAATTATTCTTACATTGAAATTTTATTGAAAATGTAGTAGGGAATATGAATGTCTCTGATTACCACAACGCGCAATGATGACTAGTGTTGGGGGTGGTTGGAAGAAAATTAGGGGCATCCAAACCAAAACGTGGCATCAGTGCTTGAAGTCACTAACTTCTCATCTGAGCCATGTCGGTAGATGTAGACTACTTGGTTAGAGTCCTCATGGCTATCGTAACCAATGGTTGGAGACTATAGGTGGCATGTCTTAGAATCGATCACAATGGCATCGGTGTATACACTCATTGTCTTCCCTTAAACTAATGAGATTAAAATCGCTTCACATCCTTCTTTCTACCAACTAATTGTTTCTTCCTGTACTATGTCCTTATATGGAATCTTTCTTTTATATATTATCACCATCGAATTAACTACTTCTATGACTCCGGTGTTTAACTTGCTGTGTTAATGAGATATGGCAACTTGGACTGATACATATATGTGCCTGGTCCTACTTTGTAGCTGATTGACTGTGTCTTGAATACCAATTCATTTGAAAATTCTCCAAATCATAACATGATTGAACAAGAACGAAATCTATACCCCAAATAACAAGGAGTATATAGAAGTAAGAGAAAAACACAATAAAAAGTGAAATGTTAGTATATTTATAGTTTTTATAATGGAAATATTCTCTAACGCTGATTGGATAAGAAATAACCAATCAATGTGCCTCAAACATAATCCTGCACGAAACATTCTTTAATCCAATTTATATTATACTAACAAAGGATTATTGACTTTTTGTTCATAGATTATATAACATGGTATACAAAATGTGTTCTTCTTTATAAATCAATTTTATTACATAATGAATAATAGATTTTTGTCTATACATTCCTTATATCTATATATGTATACATAAATGACTTGATCATGTTTATATTGACCTTATTATAATTAAATGATAACAAACAAATATGATAATTCACTGACAGTTAAGTAGTAGTATCATGTTAAATATTAATAGTATAATCATGTATTTACTAGTGTAATCTTTCTGATAGAGTTTTCAATATTTCATTCAGTAGACGATCATCTAACTAATAGAGTCTAGTGATGTCGGATGTGTGATAATCGTTATGAGATTGCACGACTATCTTCTATTGTACTGTCTCTACTCGACTTGGATTAACTCCGTTTGTCGCATCAATCAGTTTATAATTTTAATAAAAAACTTAATAATCTCTACAACCCCTATACTGATAATTAACATGTGCTCAGTAGTGACTAACTTCGTAAGGGAATTCTTGGAGTTGTATTAAGAAGCTTTGATCAGTGAAGCTAATCCATGTCGGGTAGAGACAGTTATCTACCTCAGTACATTGGAAGACAGTTATGCAATTTCGTTGATTGCTTGAGGTATAGCTCAGTGGTTAAGCGTTCGCGCTTGAGACTGAAGGCCCTGAGTTGGGATTCTATGAGCGGGATCATGGATGCGCACTGCTTAGGAGTCCCAAAATAGGAAGAAACACACGTCCAGTGCTTCCAGGTTTTCAGTGGTGGTCTAACATCAATCGGTTCATGATTTCAATCAAAAACTTAATAATCTCCACAACTCTATACTGATAAAATTTACGAATTACAATGGATAGTGATTTGACAATATTGAATATTGATTGGAATTTAATCAATCAATTTCAACTTAAT